CGATCCTGTGCCTCGCCGAATGTCCACATTCTCCACAGAAGCGGCAACACGCGACCTGTGGGACCGGGACCACGGCGATTAAACGAAGGCTCGCGTCGTGGGGAGGTGAAGTCGGACCTCTGCTGGCAGTCCCGCGTCCCTTAAGACTGAGTCCTCCCGCACAGACAGGTAGGTGTCTGGGGTTTGGACACCAGGCGAGAATTGTGCAAGCAAATTTCCGTGCTCGCAGCCCCGGTTCCGAGGTCAGGACTTAAATCCGTGCGCTCCATGCTTTGCGTTTACGCTGTTCCATTTGTAAAATACAGCCTTTCCCAGCCGCAGGGTCTTCCCCCACCCCAGCCCTGTCCTCCTATTTGTAGGCGTGTTTTGCCCAGCGCATCCGCCCGAGGTGTGGCACCACGGGGCCTTCTCTAGCTGTCTGCAGCCGCCCAGGGGCTGGGGCCACTGGCAGCAGGCGTGGTGGGAGCGGGCGGGAGAAGTCCGAGAGCTGGGTGCTCAGGCAAGAGGTCCTAGGGGCGTGGGAACCGCAGCTTCCCATCCTCCCGGGGAGCCACGCGCGGTCCCTCCACACCCCCTCTCGGCTCCCGTGCTCACACTTACCCTGATTCACTCCAAATTGCCACTCGTGGAGCTCCCTCTCTGAGGAACCGCCCCTCCCAAGCCCGCCAGCAAAGTTAAAGCAGAGGAGGAGCGGCCAGGTGGGCTCCCGTCTCCCAGCGGACCCTCCGGCCAACCTTAGGGGCCACCCGGGCGCGTCCCCTCCGGACGGAGGAGAGAGGTAGGGGAAGGACGTGGAGCGCCAGGGAGCCGGGGGCCGGAGCGCACCTCCCATCCCGAGGCCTCGGGCAGGGACTCAGAGACCCAAAAGCTGTACCTGGGATCGTGGGGCCGGCGGCAGGGCTGCTGGCTCTCCCGCGGCGAGGCTAGGCGCACTCCCATGCCCGCCGCATGTTTTCCGCAAGGGGCCGCTTCCTTCGTCCTTCGGGGAGAAATTCTCCAAGGGGCCGCAAGTAGCTCTGGAAGCTGAGAGGTTGCGGTGCAAATCCCGTGTCTTAGCTGGCTCGAGTGTCGGAAACTTCACTACGAATGGCTGGGCGGGAGAGACCACTGCATACCGCGCGCCCTTCGTGTTCCTCGCGGTTAGCCGAAGTGAACTTAGACCTCGGTTTGCTCCTGTGGGGCGCGAGCGTACCTCCAGAGCCGCTTGGACCCTGGGAGCCTCCGTTCTGGTGTCACTAGGTTTTGGGGGTCCTGGCTGTCTCAAAACCGGGCACACATTCACCTTCCGGGGCTCGCGCTGGAGTGGCTGAGCTCGCCTCGGGGCCTGGGGAAAGGGGCCGGGCTGGGGCTAGGAGAGCCCGTTGCCTAGGGGTGGAAGAGAGGGCGAGCCCAAGGCCAGGGGTCTGTGCGAAGCCAAGCGAATGGAATTGAGAAGAATCCGAGCGGGGACCAGTGCTAGGAAAGAGAGAACGGTTATCAGATTCTCGTACTGGTCATACTTGACTTCCCACCGTCGCCGCAAGTGGAAGAGCAGCGAAGCTGTGGTTTGGGTGCAACTGGAGGCTCAGAGCTTCTGTCAGCCTAGAAGATCCCCAGGACTCTGAGCACCTAGACGCCCGCGTTCTCGCCGCCGGCCTTGCCGCTGTAGGGACACCTTTTATCTGTTTTTAAGAGCGAAAGTAGATTTACCCGCACCTGAAAGTCATGGCATCATTTGTTCTTTTCTTCTCTAGAGGTGGTTGGGCAGCGGCTCACCTAAGCATCTTCCTTTTATATACTAAAGCTATTTCCCCCCAAGACTAATCAGACCCTTGAATTTTCCATATGTTACCCCCTCCCCAAACTACCTGGCAGCAAGCCGGGCAGTGGAGCAATCTAAAGCAGAAGAGGATGTAGGTTCACATTTTTGAACATCAGGTGTATAAATATCATCATTTGATCACTATGTCCTAGTTCTCTTTTATGATATAACTTGCTGTTGTAGCGCAGGCGCCTTGTCATTGGAGGTGCACTTGACTAGCTGTGGTGTGGGTTCAGTGCAGACAGGGCTTACAGACCTCGCTGGAGAGAGTTAAAGTCAAGGACACATCATAAAGTTTCAGCCCCAGACTTGCTGTGAATAACTTGCACAACAAAAATAGTTCTAATTGGTAGTTTATAGGAGGGAAAGAAACCTGTTCCTCCTTCTATGGTCTCCGTGACTGCGCTGTGGCCACCAGGCATGACAATGAAATCAGCTGTAACACTGCCCTCTGACATATATTGGTCAGCTGTGCTAGGTAAAGCAACAGGCCTGTGTGCAGTTGCTTGCATTTCTCAGTACCTACTCTACTGACTTATAGAGCTGTATGCTGCTATATAGGCTAGTACAGAGCAAATTAATTTTGTTGTTTTAGTCTTACCTTATTTACACAATTTTAAATGCATTTAGAGGATTTGGGTTGAAGACATATTTACATGTATAGACTTACATGTAAAATTTGTTTTCTTAAACTCTGATATAAACTATATAGCAAAATATCTTTCAGCAATTATTTTTTAATGTAGTAGAGGAGTAATATACACTTCAGTCTCAGGTTAAGTCACTGAAAATTAAGATATGATAATTACTTTAGAGTATAGTTTAGTCATTAGAATTCATTTTAAAATGAAAGAATATTGGAGGATCTATTTTAAAGTGAAATTGTGTGGAGAATCCCTCTCTAATATACAATGAGCACGTATTTTGTGACAGACCAAAATTTTATTTTTGCATTTCATCCTTTATGTATTTTAATCCGCTGTTTAGATACATTTATCATTATTTTAAATGTCACATTTTCCTAAAATTACTCCACTTCTTATGCTATATTCCAATCTCAGTTTATGAAATACTGTATTATAACCTTCAGAAGTCAAGCTTTCAGTTTTAGAAAGACTTAAGAAAGTGTATGTAGTTTGTGGGAGATTGCTATATGTAGCAGGGGGAGAAACTTAGGCCAGAGTTAGAAAACTTGATCCCTAATCTTAATTCTAGTTAATTTGATGTTGGTTTAACCTGAATTTACTGAAGTGTAAAATGAAGATGATTGAGTTTTCCATAAACTTATCTTATGCTCTCATCAAGATATTTTTTAAATGTGAAAGGTACTTATTGCTAAAGCTAGAAAAATGTTAAGTAAAAACATTTAGTAGAAATCTAAATTCATTCTATTGGACCTTGAGTGGTTATAAATATAATTTTGCTTTCTAACGAAGGGGGAAAAGAAGCCTTCATTTTTGGCATGTTGATATTTTACTAAGGAACTTGACATTTCAGAACAAATATTGGTCATAATTTTTGAAAATAATGATTGCTTTTAAACTCTCTTTTCCAATTATTACTTATAGGCAATTAAATAAATTACAAAGCATGGAATGACTGTCTATTCCTGTCCCAATGGCATAAAATAATAAATTTATGGACAAATAGGTTCACCTCACACTTGGATAGTCAGACCTGTAGAGATACATATTGGAACAACATAGCAAGACACAGCTGCAGAAACATTGTGAGCAAACTAGTAGAATGGGTGGTCCGCAAATACCTCACAGGTATTTTTGCTTTATTTATACTTTAATAAAATAAATAATACAGAATAAGTTTTCTCACAGAAGGTCTTTTCCATAAATTCACTCTCTAGCAACCAAAGATTAGAGTACAAGTGGAAGTTCCTCTTCAGCTAGCTCCACCCAATCACATTCTCAGAGGCAGCCACCAAGAGGTGGCCATTGCTGGTCTGATATGCATCAATTCTACCTCTCTCTATGCAGTTACATACAGGAATACAGACAAAACATTATAGTTTTGTTTTATTCGTTTTTAAAATAAATGATACCATACTTTACATAAGTGTATACACACAAAGAGATGTATTAAACTAAAACTTGCTTTTTCACTCAATAATTTCATAGAGAACGTTCATAATAGTATATATAAATATAACGCCTTTTAACTGTTATATAATCCATTTAGCCATTCCCCTATGAAAGTTTTTGTCTTTCCAATTTTCCTATTATGAACATCAAACATTCTTGTATATGATCCTTTCTGCACATGTGTAAATATTTCTATAGGGATAGCTACACAGACATAGAATTACTGGGTTGAAGGAAACATGATTTTAAAAATTTTGATAGATATTTCCAAATTTCTCTTCAACCTACACCCCCACTAACACATGAATGTCCCCATTGCCTCACATGCTTATACACCATTGTATATGTTCAGTCTTTATAATGTTTGCCTACATGATGAGTAAAATAATGTCATTGTTTGAGAGCCTTTTTACTTATTTATATCATTTTTATTTTTTTAATTGAAGACATTTGCTTATGGCCATTGCTTACATTCTTTTTGTTGCTGTTAATCCTCACCAGAGGATATTTTTCCATTGACTTTTAAAAGAGAGTGGAAGGAGGATGGGAAGGAGAGTAAAGAGAAACATATTAATAGATGACAGAGAGATACCTATATGATTGGTTGCCTCCTGTTTGTACCTCAACTGGGGCCATGGGTCAACCTGCAACCCAGGTATGTGCCCTTGTCCAGGAATCGAACCTGAGACCCTTCACTGTGTGGGCAGATGCTCCAACTACTGAGCCACACAGGCCAGGACTATTGCTTACATTCTTATTAGTTGCATTCTTATTATAATTTATAAAGATTTTTTGTAAATAATTTTTCCATATGTATATGCTTTATATATTGCAAATATGTTACCTGGTCTAACCTCTGCCTTTTACCTACTTTCTCTTTTGCTTTACTAAATGTTTAAATGTGAATATAGGTCAATAATTCTATCTTTTCCTTTATGAATTCTGGCTTTTGTGACTTTCCTACAAATATTTTTTTCCTATATTTTCTTCTAATAGTTTAAAATAATTGTTTTCACTTGGCTGCTTAATCCTCCTAAAATTAATTTGTATGTGTTGTGAGGTAAAAATCTAATTTGATTTTTTTTCTCTCCAATTGTGTGGGCAATTATTCCTATGGCACTTATTAAAGACTTTTTTCCCCATTGATTAGAAACAACCTTTCTCATAAACGTGGTGAATTCCTTTCCATGTGTAGGTTGGTCCAAAAAGGCTTTGAGCCAGGCTGGTGTGGCTAGTTGTTGAGTATTAACCCATGAACCAGGAACTCATGGTTCTATGCCCGGTCAGGGCACATGCCCTGGTTGCGGGCTTGATCCCCAGTAGGGGGCGTGCAGGAGGCATCTGATCAATGATTCTCCCTTCCTCTCTGAAATCAATAAAAATAAAAAGGCTTTGAGAGATGTTGCAAAACACTAATAGACTGTAACAAATTTACAATAAATCTCACAATTTAAAAACCATCTTGCACTCTAAAGACTTTCAATATTATTCTGTCCTAATTTCAGAACATGTTAAGTATTGAAATAGTTATGTGCACTGCCTGGTAATGGCTCTAATTTAGAAGGCTAATTCAATACTGTTCCAGGATGAAACTGCCGTTTATTCCGTCATTGACCTGCTCAGAAGCAGGAGAGCAGTTTCAGGCAGCCATGGTCTTCAGAGTAGAGTATGGCTGCACAGAGATTTTCAAACACATCACCTGATGAGGTGATAACTGACCCCAAGCAATATAAGATTAATTCATAAAAGTGATGAGCCCCTGCACCCATGATTTGAAGACGTAAACTGCATCTATCTTTTTGTTCCATTTTTTTTTTATGGAATGGGAATTAATTTTTTTCACAAAGTAGCCAGTCAAGATGAGAACCTTCAATATGGTTGTACATTCGTCAAATTCACTCGGGACAAAAACACAAATACTTTATCACCTCCATTTCTAAAAAACATGAGCTAGATATAAGTGCAGAAGATACAAACAATAACCAGTTAGTAGAGCTGAGATACAGGTGGGCTAATGTCTTGTGCTACTTCACAGATCTTGAGACAGGACCTGAAG